ACTGACAAATTTTGCGGCACAATTATACTCGGAAAGGTAGATTCATTGATTATCAAAACTTGCTAAATAGATTATAATAACAGTTTAAATATTGTCTTTGGCACAGAATTGTGAACAAATATCGAACAGCACAGAGACAAAAATCATAGCTTATACTGCATTTCATTCACATGATTCTTCTATGTAGCTTGACAGACCCTCGAATAGAAAAATTAAATACAGAAATACCTTATGCATTGAATTCATAGTTTTGCACTATCGCACTATTGCTATAAATAACTAACGCTATGTCGATATAATTATTTTTTTTGTAGGATGAGTTGCTACACCAATTAATTTTATTATCTCTATATTTAGTCGACTAAGCCAGTTTTTTAAAAAATCAGCTGACTTAGCTGGCTAAGTCGACTAAGTCGACTAATGTTAAATCGATTAATATCACTAACGCAAAGCTACAACATATTCATAGCATGAATTTCTACTTATGTTTTGAATTACTCTTATCATCGTATGGTGATAAACTTCCGCTTAATGATATTGATGGTTGGGTTCATGTTTTTTTTTAAAGTCAAAAGTAGGTAATAATAGTAAAAGTGATGATGTTGATATGTTGATAAAGAGGTTAATATATTTGACAATAAGAAATTTTTAAAATAACAGGTATGGGTAAGAAAAAGGTAGCTATTGAAGCGATAGCTCTTAAATAATTTCAAACAAGGAGTTTTGTTTAACTCAATCTTACTATTTGCTATCGTATATATTTTTACTTACCGTCCTAAAATACGGATCTATCGCAGATTATGTCGTCAATGTTAGGTCCGGATATCTAATTGAGTATCCGGATAGACTTTCTACCTTGCATTTTCTTTTTTTTTTTTTAGTCTGGATTTGTTATATCGTTTATTGTACATTTTTTATTGGTTTGTTGTGAATCTTGGTTTAATAAACGAACAGAGTTTGCATCACATAGAATGTAATTGCTGTAGGTTTTACATCTGATCTCGACGAACTCAGTTCCAAAAATATTTTAAATAGACAAAATGACTGAACTGGTGAACCTGCGAAACTAGAGGAATGTGAAATTGCGAAACTAGTGAAATCAGTGAAAGACGGTAAAAACTGCGAACGAAGGTCAATGTGACAAAACTTAAAACAAATGTGAAACTAAGCGAAAAATTATTTTTTGACTTAACAGTCGCTTTCTGAAAATCTTTATTCGCTGTAGATTGCTTGTTGTATAACATATATGAGTTTTATAAAAAATATTCAAATCTGTCTATAAGCTTTTATCGTTTTCTTCTATTTTTCTTTACTGAACTTGTGCTATTTCCATTACTTTGTCGTTTTTTAGTCTTTTCGAAATTTCGCTATCTCCCGATCTTTGCTGCTTTTTAATTCCTAAATTAATTTCCAGCGCATATTGGGTGATTCCATTGATCCATTCTGGAATCCATCTTTTGCTGTTTTAAATTTTTGTTGAGGAAAAGTTTCAAAGATTTCAGGAGGAACGACAAAGTACATATCAATGTTCTTAATATCTACTCCACGGAAGAAAATGATCTACATCCTTAAGCCCTTTCAACTATAAAATTTGAGATATCAATTTTAGCAACTTACTATGATTTGTCTGCCAAATAAATTTATTATTCGATAGAAACTATATAGTTACTGAATAATAAAATTATTATCAGGCAGTTTATCGTCTTAAGTTACCAGATAAATCCATTATCGGTCATGCAGATGCCTTATAACTTAATTATTTGATCAAAAGTTTAAAATTAGCCTAAGAAGTTGAATTCTGAAGGAATTTAATTTTTTAATCTGATTTAAATCTTTGACCTAAAAGCTGAGCTTAATATTCTTTCCTTTAACGCTTGGATGCTTGGCATAGAATTCCTCTTCATTATGATATGGTCGGTTTAATACAATCTCCCGTGCAATTTTCTCACCAACGCCAGGAATAATAGAAATCATCCTTTTTGGCTCCGAAAAATTAGGATTTATGTCTTTAGTAAATAATTAATATATTTATTATTCTTTACCTTTATTCCATGGTCTTGTGATACAGCCATTTGATATAATACTAGAGCCTCATCATTAAGACTAAAAGAGTCCATGAAAGCGAATGTTTTTGATATATGTCTATTATAAGACCCTTTACGGGCCTCATTTAATGACATAAACCAATTACATTCTAACTCTTTTATATCTATTTCAGCAATTTCTGGCTATCATTATTTAGGCATCGGATCCTAAATTTCCCACCCTTTGCAATTCTTTATGAGCAAAGTCTTTAAAAATATTTCCACGAAATCCTGCAAACTTTGGAAATTTGTGACTGCACATAATTAAATCTCGAGCACTTCTCCATGTTTTAGGTTCATATTCTTCGACAAGTTTATTAAAAACTAATGGAGAAGCAAAACGGTAGACAGCACTTGTGAAAGTTGAATCAGCATGAATATGAACAAGTCTGCCACTTATAGAACCTGTGGGCATTCCCGACTTATCAATGGAGTTTATACAATTATCAAAATTAGCTTCATTGATTAATTGTTGATACTTCTTTTGATAAGTATTATCATCCCACTTTAAAAATACCGATCTTGGTATTGGCTAAAAGAGTTTCAAGTAAATCAAATGTAAACTCTTAATTTTTATAATTTCTTATATTCTTAGCCCAAACTGTGGTAATTCTTGATCCCAAATCGGCATAAAGAATTTTGTAAAACCAGGCCAGTTAAGATTATATTTTACTGAGGTGATATATTTTGTATATTCGAACATTGGATCCTCAGGTTTGGAAGGAAGTGGAACACCGTAATGTATTAACATATTTTTTTCTTGAACATTTAATGTTACAAGCAAGATGTTCATGACCCTTTCATTTTCGGATCATTCAGCCTTTCTACTTTAGTAATGTAAATAAAACCTCGTAGGCTTTATATTGAAACTTTAAATCGGCTGCGTCCATAAGCAGAAAGTTATCCTGATTTTTAAGTGTTGTGCCGAATTGATAAATGTCTCCTTCTAACACATTGTCATCTGGCATAAACTGGTAACAAATATTTTCATTACAGTAACAAACAATAATAGCATTAGGGTATTTGTAATGAAGATAAAAGAGGAGGTAAAATCCAAGTATGACTTTCCAATTCCAGATATGCCTGTGATTACACAGCCACTTTTAGCAGGACCACCTTTTTGACGACTTTAATGATTATTAGGTAACACCTGCGTATAAAAAGCTTAGATCCGTAGATAAATGCTGTATTGAAATTGTATGCTTCATGTTTCATATTAGATGATAATACTGTACCATACGTCAGTAGTTGTATAGTAGCCAAGCGAGTACAAAATGGTATAGTTAATCAAAAAGTGCACGGTAATCCTAGTAAATGTATATAATAAAATTTACCTACTTACTATTGCTTTCGAAAATAACCCTGAACCTTTGCATTTCTATGTCATAATTCCGCCCGACATCATGTAATCTGGCCCAGATCATAATATATGTCAGCTTTTTTTTTTTTTTTATAGAGAGTGGTGAGAAAATTAAAGAGAGGGATAATGTAAACCACTGAATCAAATTGAAAATGATTGTAGATATTGTACATATACATTTAATAATAATGTATTCATTGAATATGTCTCTTGGTTATATTTATGACTTGCTGAAATTATAGTCAAATTCTCTTGCTTCATTGTAGTCTTTAACGATCATGATTATCGATTAATCTATCCAATAAAAATCCGGTAAGAAAAAAACAGTAAAGTATCCACAATTTTATTGAATTTTATAGAATTACATCGAATGCTAATGAAAAAAAAAGTCTTCTTGTTATCAATTAACTTCGAAACAGTTTTTTTTTTTTTAAATAAATAATAATAATAATATACATCTATTTCCTTTCCTGAAATTCAAGGAAATTTTGACCGAAGATCCTATGCATAAAGATAACATAAGTATGGCAAAATGGGCAAGATTATAAATTAATATAATTTATCTTGGATTAAGAGAAAATAATTCGCAAGCAACTTCATATTGATTCAAGAATTTAGTGATTTGGGCGCCTTTGCATAATATATATATGTGTGTAAATAATTCTTGAAACAAAAAAATGATGATGAGTGAAGTTATGAATATACCGACAGAGATGAATTTGGGATAATCTCTAAAATATGTCGATTGTTCAGACTGTTATATCTTAATGACAATTTAAAGAAACAATTCAAGCCTGGAACAAATCTAATTTTGACAAAATTCTAACGATAGGAAGCGAAAATAATTTGATTGGACCATTATTACATAAATTCACCGATTTATAAAATCACTATAACACTTCAAACCTGCATTGAATCTATATATTTGTATTCGTTGTTAATTGTTGTTACAGATGCATTTGCTGTAATTGCTGTTACATTTTGCTATTGCATTCGTTGAGTGTTCTGAGGATTGTCAAGTTGTCAAGTTCTTCGCGAACCATGGTGATTAGTATCTGAGAGATACAGTATTTAAAAAAATTAGGTTGTCAGAGCAAATGCAACATTAACACTACATATTTTTTTGAAGTCCATAGGTGATAAAGTATGAAAGAGGATGTACTCACGTTATATTATCTGTTGTTCCGGGTGGTTTGTACCATACGATCAATAATTTATACACTACGTTGGTGATTTGATCATCATCATATAACGATATTTAGTGAACATCGCGGCGGATTCTGTTCACACCCTAAATTAAAGATAACCCCAAAATTTAAATTATAAATACTCCGATATATATTTTTTATGATAATTAATAATATACCAATACGTAATTTATTATAAGTACATGCCCTAAAATTTTGGGGTGTGAACAGAATCCGCCGTGATGACTTATGTATCACCTCGCTCATAAGTGCCGTACCCAAGTTACGTCCTTTAAAAGGACTAATGAGGCTTAAACAAGGTTCAACTTTATTTTGTAGTGCTCATCCTTTGTCATAAACTTCGACCATATGTCATCTAAGCCTTCTAATATTTGTTTAGGACTTCATTTCTTCCAATATTCGGAAATGACACTTTTACCCCGTGACACTATTACGATGATCATCGCGCGTCGTCAATCAAAACGTAGCATAGTGAGATTAATAATTTTTAATCTCACTACGTTTTGATTGATGACGCCCATTATATAAAGCACCTCTCTCAATGAGCTCAATAATTGATCTATTTGATCTAACTGTTCTTTATTGAAGTCATTGAGAGAGGTGCACTAAATATACAAAAATATGATTGACTCTTCGATTAACATCAGCGCAACCCGATAAAATGATGAACGAATTTCAAATTTATAACTTTTAATATATAAAAGTATTAAAAGAAATTTATTTATTACATTAATCATACTATAAATTGTTTTTATAAAAAAAATTTTTTTTTTTTGTTGCTTTTTCATTTCTTGTTGTATACGAAAGCTTAAACACTTACTTTTGTTACACTTCGAATCATTTCAGAATTTTATTTAAGCGGAAAAAATTAACTGCTTGTCCATCAGCTACTGTATGATGAAAAATCGTATCTTATAGGCTTTTTTTCTAAACTGTTTAGCATTAGTTAATTGTTAAACCTATAATGAATCAAATTAGTTATAACATACCTGCTGCAACAAATTTTATATTCTTATGTAAGAGATACTTTTTTGTTTTAAATAAAATGACAAGACAATGATAACATAATCAAAGTGTAAAATTCATTTTGATTTGAATATCTAATACTGTATATATTCAGTCTATGACGTACAAAACTGGTACATATTTTTCGGTGCTGCCACGCAAATGCTTTCAATACGTCGCTGATCAGTTTGTTCAAGGGGATCGAGTATTATAGGTAATATGAAGTCCAAGTCTGGTGTTATTCAATATTCAAATTGAAGGAATAAACGTAAAGATTATGTAGTATATTAAGAGTTAAATACATTTGATTACGTACACCAGAATTTCCATGAATCTATAAATTATAAAAAACGTTGAGAATGTTACTTGACAGAATCGTTTTGTATAAACTTCTGTAACTAAAAATAAGAGACTCTAAATATAAGATAACGAAAAGTTTTCTATAAAAAATTTTGATCAGTGACTTTTTTATATCGAGATCCATTTGAATATAATAAATCAAGATGGTTTTGCGTTTCTACTATAAACCATTACCTTCTCGCACTCTATTCCATTTTCAATTTTCAAATTTTTGTTTCCTACACTTAATCATTAAATCCCTTATCTTTTTTGCCTTGATTTCACGAGTTTTGGCAATAAATCCGATAACAATTAAAGGAAATAAATTTTTTGATTCAATTACAAACCAACAATTTCTTATAAAAGGAGTGGCATATCAACCACGTGGGTTAGGCACAGAATATATAGATCCATTGGCGAATCCTGAAGCTTGCAAACGTGATGTTAAATTAATGAAAGAATTGGGTCTTAATGCAATTCGTGTTTATGAGGTAAACTTTATAAATAATAAAAATAAGTAATACTGTACTTTTTTTGATAAGAATTTTCATGAAATATTTTATTAAAGGTTGATAACGATAAGAATCACGATTCATGTATGAATTATTTTGCTGAAGCTGGCATATATCTCGTTCTCGATCTAGCTACCATAAAATCTAATATAAATCGTGATAATCCACAATGGTCATTACAACTATTTCAAAATTACACCGCTACCGTTAATGCATTCATCAAGTATCCTAACACGTTGGCATTTTTTGCTGGTAATGAAGTTACGAATAATAAATCTAATACAGAGGCAAGTTCGTTTGTTAAAGCTGCGATAAGGGACATTAAAGAATATATTAAGGTGAATGCGAAAAAAAAAGAGGGACGAATTATACCAGTAGGATATTCCAGCAATGATGATCAAGATGTTAGAATTCCATTGAAGGAATATTTTAATTGTGGAAACAAGAGTGAGCAGGTATTAGAGTTTATATTGAAAAAAGGTTTATTAATAGAATTCGTTAATTAATCTTTAAATACTATCGCTATGCAGGTGGATTTTTATGGAGTAAATTTATATGAATGGTGTGGAGATAGCACATTTGAAACGTCTGGATATGCCGATCGGACTGGAGAATTCATCAATTATAACATTCCAGTTGTACTTTCTGAATACGGTTGCAATATGGTCAATCCGCGTAAATTCACTGAAGTTTTATCAATCTATGGCCCACAAATGACCTCGGTCTGGTCTGGTGGAATAGTCTATGAATGGTCACAAGAAATAAATTCATATGGTCTTGTAGAAATTAGTAAAGATGGTAGTGTCAAAAAATTACAAGATTTTTGGAATCTTCAAGAGCAATTTTCTAAAATAACAGTTCCACCGAATGACACGTTATCAATGGACTCTTACACACAAACAAATGTTGAATCTTCCAAGTGCCCTCTTAAATCAGAAAATTGGAAGGCGGATATGAAACTACCACCAACTCCTATGAAAAATGTTTGTGAATGTATGGTCTCTTCACTTTCTTGTGTTGCTTCATCAAAAATTATGGATAATCAAAATTTAATTGATGAATATTTTGGACTAATTTGTGGAATGATCGAGTGTGAAAATATTAATGTTAATATTAGTTCGAGTAAATATGGTAAATATTCGTATTGCAATCCGGAGGATAAGTTGTCCTATCAGTTTGATGTTTATTTTAAACATAAAAAGAAAAATCCTCTTGCTTGTAATTTTAAGGGTGCTGCTACAATTGTTAAATATGAAAAGAATAATGAAAAATGCGGTGAAAATAAAAATGAAACTAGCCCTAATAATCCTAAGGTTCCAAGTAGTGATAGAATTAGCAACGATGATGGTAAAAAGAAAAGTGATGCGATTTTTTCAAAAAATTTTGAAAGTTTTATGGGAATAATGATAATTTTGGTTAGTTTTATTAATGTATATTGAAAAAAAGGATGACATTGGTTCTTTTAACGTATTTGTTAGATGGTAATATTGAGAATTTATTTATATATAGAAATAATACGAGTTATTAAACAATGAATATGTTCTTAATATTTACAATATAAAATACAACATAAGTGTCTCCTAATAAAAAACTAAATTGACAGTTCAATTCACTCTTTAGCTTTCAATTGTTCTCTTCATTAAAATTCTTCATCTTCACCTCCTTCTTCTTCCTCTTCTTCCTCATCTTCACCTCCTTCTTCCTCCTCTTCACCTTCTTCCTCCTCTTCACCTTCTTCACCTTCTTCTTCTTGTCGTTTTTCCAATTCGTAAATCTCATCATTGTCATAGATCGCACTTCGTCTCTCAAAATTATGTTCGTCAAGCTCAAAATTTCGTTCACTCAAATCATGACGTCTTTTAAATTTGTTATTATTAAGATCATAATTGTCAAAATAAACGCGACGAGTTCTCAAATCGTGATTACGTTTCAAAAAACTCGGATTATTTTGCTCGCCTTCTCCACGTTCTGAAATAAAAGGATTTTGTGAAGATGGATCATTTAATTGTAATGAATTGATTATCAGAATTAGGTGGGAAGTGATTAACAAGAGTAGAGTAGGGAATCTACAATTCATTGAAGATCTCATGTTTTTTTTTTTTTATTAATTGGGTTTCTGTGAAAACAAGTAGTACTATTTAAAAAAGACTCGAAATTGAAAGCTTAGTTGCCTTAGGAAAATCGGTCGGTTTATTAAAAATGTTTTTGATAGACTCTTTTATCGAAACAATATGGCTTTGGAATGTGGGTTTTTATATTTTATTTTGATATTATGAAAATAATGTATCATATAATTATCTTAATGAATTCTTTTATAAATTATTTATAAGTAAATTATTTAATTCATTTTTATATATTATACTTTATATATCATTTGAACTTAATTGATCACACGTTATACGTAGATTGAGTAAATGATCAATAATTGTATTGTAAAGTGCCTACGAGCATAAATCTGTGAAACCAGCCTGCAAGTCTGAAATTAACAAGTGCTCTTACGAATGTTTACGAAACGTAAGATGGTTGAGAAATACTTCTCTTATCTAACATTGAAGACTACCTTAAATGGTCGGATAAAATACCCCTTGATAATATATAGACCCACCATACACTATACCCGGATGCAAATCACAAGATCTTTAATTAAATATGGTTATTTTAAAAAATCTGGGTCGCCTGCTATAAACGCGAAGTGTGTATACATTTCAAATTTTCATTATATGATATAAACTCAGCCATGTACTATATATTTAAAAGGATTTTAAAATTTTGGTGGGATGTAACAGATACGAATCCATCCCATTTACGGTGATGGTCTCAAGTTATTATTATATTTGAGATACTTATTGAGCTTGAAGATTGAACCCATTTACCTGACCGTAATACCGTATTTCATTGTATAAACCACCTCGACGATAGTAGATACCTGGGTTTTACAGCTATTATCATTATTCCTGAACACCCGATCAAAATTGGCTGAATGACTTTTCGGCCGATTCGACTAAGTTTGTGATTTCAGCATGATCCATGATCCATATGTATATATTTGTATCTTTTGTTCTTTTCAGCAAATTTAACCTTTTAGAATTAAAATAAAAAGTTGGTTTTTTGTTCCCTTGGCATCTATTTAAAATATATATATATATTCATTTATTACATAATTGTATCGTGAAAAAAAAAAATTTGTAAATAGACAGGTTTTTAAGCGCATACGTACGTGTTCACAATGCTATTTGAGAATCGATTTTACAGATTTCAAAAATCATAAAGAACTTAAATAAAATAAATCGAACATCTATTTTCAATACTACTATATTCTTATTTTCTTTAACAGTGGTTTTGCATGTAGCAATGGCTTGAAGTGGTATATAGTTTGTCTACCTTAGTAATAATAATCCCGTTAGTGATCGGGGGGATTATGATAATCCCCGATCACTATATCAAGATCACGGGGATTAATGAATAATATCCTGATCCATATGTGAATAAGCGAAAACTTCGTCTCCGCCAATCCCCAATGGATCAGGATATTATTATTATCTATTCAACATTACAAGTTTCAAACCTTCTATATGTTAGTAAGCAAGGTGTTGCGAATACAAGTAAATATCGATATAAGAAAGGTGGCGGGCCAATAATAAAAATTTTTCAAAATTTTCTTATATCAAGAGTTTATTAGTAACCTTTTATATCGTATGAATTTATTATAGACTAGTTTTAACTTTCTTACATCGAAGTTTAATTAGTTTTTCTTATAACAAGAGTTTCTTATATCAAGAATTTCTTATATCAAGTTTCTTATATCGAGAGTTACTAAATTATTGATTGCTAAGTTGTCGAAATGATCGAAATATTTCAGCCACAAGTATAGTTGAATAAATCCTGATTTCGTTAATTAACAATAGCGATAGTTATAACGAAAATGATCTATATTATAAAGTCAAATTTTCTTCTGCATTGCATCTTTAATTACTTTTATTTTGTATCTTTATTTACGCACGACATTAACGAAGAGAAAGAAATTATATTTAACTTTACTGATTCTACTTCAACAAATTCTTTAACAAACGCATTTCGAACTTGGCCTAATAATCATGCAACAAAGATGAGCCTATATGATACAGCACATCTTGAATTTATCAATCAAAGAAAACAAGCTATTTTCTTAGAAATATGCCACTGTACTGTCATCATGAAGTTGTTTTTATGGGGTCTATGTCAAAATCCTGAAATTTAGTTCAAACCCGCTTTTGATTAGTAATCATTATTACTAATCACAAGTGGAAACCCGACGCGACAATTAAATTTCAGGATTTTGACTTTCGGGATTTTGACATAGACCCATTTTTATCTAGCGCTAGAATTAGAGTTAATACTTCAATCCGGATATAAATATATCCGGATTGATATTTTTGGTATAAATTTATACTTAGCGTTAGTACGTACGTACGTAAAACATAGCGATAGTAACTATATCCGGATACATCCAGATATAGAATAAATCCGGACATAAAAGCATAGTAAAGTATTAACTCTATGTAGAATTATGTAGAATTTTTATATAAAATTATTATGTAAAGTTTTTATATATGTAACTTTATAAAAACTTTACGTATAAACTCAATGTGCATAGCTATTTATATAAATCTATATATATATATATTTCTACGTAGAATTATGTAAAATGACAAAAAAAATTCCAACTTAAATATTAAAGATTATCACAAACTTCGAAGTTACGTAATATCACGTAGATAACAATAATATTATGTAGTTGTTTGATATACATTTATGTAGTGTAAAGCCACTTAACAATTTATATAATTCTTTTTGTGTAGTTTTACTATATAAACTGTATAATTCATATAAGTTCTTACCTAGTAATTTTATAAAAAAAAGTTCGTGATGTAGGCCGTTTGAAATTGGTTCTTCGCTTAACGTTATCCCCGTCTTCTGAGCTCTCCCAAAAATTAAATAAATAGAAATATATAATAGCCAGCGTGGCCACCGGGATTTTTCGGCTTACATTCGAGATTTTTTTGTATACTATATTTAATTTTTATGTTCCCCCCTTGTGTAAACGCGAAAAAAATAAAGTTCCAATACAAACGGCTTTATTTATATTCTCGTAAGGAAAAAGTTCTTGGTCTTTACATAATATTTTTATTATCTAAAAATTACAGTCAACCTTTCTATAGCAACTAGACAGTCCTAGAAGAAAAAAAAGTTCATTAAAATAAAATATATAAACATGTTTTCTTTTAAAAAGATTCGTTTAAATTTATCAAATAATTAACGAATCTATTTAATGATAAAAATTTTTGAATTCTAGAGTAGTCACATTCTTATCCGGAGATCATCACAAACTTCGAAGGTCCATATATTTACGTAGTATTACATAAAATGCCAATAATATTATGTAATTGATATAAATTTATGTAAGCGTAAAGTCATTTAACAATTTATATAAATTTATGCTTCTTTTTGAGTAGTATAACTGAAGGTCATAAAATATTTGTAAAATATTATGTTTAGTCACATAATATTATGTAGATTCATGTCGTATTTTACCTAGTAATCTTATAAAAAAAAAAAAAGAAAGTTTGTGATGTTCGTCTATTAGTCCGCTGGTATATAGATAATGCTAAATGCCATCATAATAGAATTAGATTATCAAATGCTGCAGATCTGGATCTTGTCAAAGGTAATGATTATTGTTACAACGTGTACACTCGTCTGATCCTAGTTCAGTGACTGTGTCGCTTACTTACTTATTATTATTATTATTATTATTTTCTCATTAATTTATTATTTTAATATATATCAGTTATGGTGTCAAGGCATGATAATCAAAAAAAAATAATCACGATTATATGAATCACCACTTTGAAGATTGATGACCTGATAGTTACACAATGGATTTTTATGACGGTTGCGGCAAAAATTCCGATTACTAATAATGGAATGTTCGAAGAAATTAATAACTAATATCAACGTTTCTTAAATTATCGCAGATCAATTCTTTACATCTAATCCTCAATTATCTACGTACTTTACAAATCTCAGTCGTACAAATTTTAACCCTAAACGATTCACCAAGAATGAATAGCTTGTATACTTGACGATTGAAAAACAATCTCATATTTAGAAGTGATTGCTAAAATTCACGAGATTAACTATACTACTGTACTAATATTAAGAATTAGATTGTAATGAAGAATGTTTCCGAATTCTATAAAATACAACTAGATGATGACACGAATTTATCAATAAAGAAAGTCATTGATATTTCAAATCCATTATTTATTAATAATAACGACTCATTTATTGAGAGGCAAAAGTATATACAACTATTAGATATAGAAAATATTAATTACGAACCTGCAATTTGAATTCTCAGAAAGAACGATTAAAATAGCTAGTATTCTGAAACACAATTATGATATGAGCTTCGTTTAGAAAAAAAATATTTATTTTCTCGCAGATATCAGCTGATATCGTAGGGTATCTAATATAAGTATAACCAATCATAATGATTAAATTTCTCAGGAGGAAGGGAAGGGTGAGATCTATAGTAAACAGATATCAGCTAATATACATTCCTTATCTTTTTAAATTGTAAGAAATCTTGTACTTACGTACGTACGTACGTACGTGTATTAGTTACCTGTTACGGCATATAAAACAAGTTACAACATATAAAACAAATTACAACATATCGATAGTGACACAACATAATTATACCAGTTAATTGACACAACATAACTATACCAGTTAATTCTGTAATTCACAAAGTTTCAAAATTTGCCGTATTTTCAATTATATAACAAGTTACGACTAGTTATAACTGAGTTTTGATACGGCACATCCCAATGATTCAAGACTCACCTGCACCTCTAATTAAACGAGGCGATTGAATGGTTAACAAAAATTTTCGCGGTTCCAATCCCTATTGATAATTATTTAATCGAAATTGGTAAATTTTTTTTAAAAATTTCTATAAAAAAAAACCTTAGCTGTTAGTTTAAATATTTAAACTAACACAAGTTACACGAAATCGCAATAATAATCCATCAGCTGTAACTAAGTTACGCCAATATATTTTGTACTTATACCCCTGATAATCAGATAACAAACCCCAGAAATTGTAACGTAAAAAAAATTGTAAACAACTCTAAGTATGACTGTGTGATGAAAAGCTTAACTGTAATACAGTAATATATATTATATATATAGTTGAAATTTCTTGATATACCGCGAAATATTGATGAACAGTATTGCATAGAAATTTGGTAAGTCTTGTATTAATTTAATCTTCGCTAAACTAATTTGAGATAAATAAAAATCAGCGATTTAGACAAAAGAATAAAGCATGAAGGACAAAATATACATATGGTCTAAATCAACAGATATCATTTTTCCTATTCTAGAGATTTATCAATGGTGTACGTATTGGTATCTATATTTGTTACGTACTGTACATTGCTTCATTTAGTAATTCATTATTACAATGTACATATAATTTTGATTTCGAACATTAATTAATTGACTTAATAGAGTGAATCATAAAAGTAGTATATGTGCGAACCAATTAGTTCAATAAAATCGTATCATATTTTATCATCAAGTACGTGCGTACCTTAAGAACCAATTAATTCAATAAAACAATTCAAACCAGATCCCAAGCAAGATGGCGTGTCTCTGAAAGTTGTCAATACGGTTATTCTTTGACCCGAGAATCAGGGAAGATTCCGCATAGACTGTCCCGAAGATTTACTAAAATTTATATACTGTATAAATTACTATTTAATTACTACATTTTTGAGCTCATTGTTTGACCTATGCGAGTTAAAATATAAAAACAAATTATTAATGTAATGTGATGTAATTTAACATTTTAGAATCTCTAATCCTAATCATACGTACGTACGTACGTATTCCCGTCGTTATGCAAAGTATTGAATTATAATTATGTGACATGTACGTACATACATTTGTATGTATTCAAAGAAGTATTAAAATTTATTAAACTATCTATATATTCCAGTAGTCAGGAAGGCAAATGATGCTAAAAAATATATAGTAATGTAGCTTTGAATGACCCTGCAAATTAGAACGTAACAAAAATGTGACCTATTCTACGCATATAATTCGTAATACATATGTCATACCATTATGAAATCAATAAAATAAATACGCAGTTATTGTTTATTATTATTATTTTTATTCTGACAATAAAGATTTTTTATTAGTGAAACTTTAACTCATTGTTTAATACCCGGAATTCACAATTCTTGGCCCTGCTGATACTAAATAAAATGACTATTGCAAGCATTTTCCACTTCCGGAAGATCTTCAGCTGACCAAAGGATTTGCCATTTGTTTTTTTTTTATTTTTTTTTATTACTATGCGGAAAATAAGTGTGCATCAATTCATAATTTTTAAATACAAATAATAGCGCAAGTCAAATTCTTTATTACATTTGACGTTAAAAACAATACGTGATCAGAGAAGGGGCTTTTATTTGAAAATTTTTGTATCAAGAAATGATTTTTTTTTTTTTTGAAAATTTTTACATCAAAGAAAAGGGATTTCTTTTAAAAATCTTTATATCAAGAAAGAAAAAAAATATTTATTTTAGTACTTTTAAAAGGGAAAATAGTTCTGGTATTAACATAGTCAATAAAATTATGGAGATTTAAAGTGAATTGTTACAAGCGATAATTGTTTGAATAAATGCGAATTACATATCCAAACATCTTTGAGGTTAAAGATAGGGTATTTTAGTTTTATAAAATGAAGTTTTTCATTCTTTTTTTTTATAGTAAGCTTCTGTATGCTTTTCGATAAGACCTTGGTCTTGAAGGTACTAATAATTTAGGGTTACGTCGCAATACGACCTGCGTTGAAGCAAAAAGATTAGACTATGATTAAATTCGACAAGCGAAATACAATAAATTATTACACTTACCCTTGTGCATGTGTTATAAATATGAAAAATCAAACTTATTATTTGAGAAATCATTCTTTTTTTTTTTTTTGAGGAAATAAATTAGAAAGATATTTTTGAGAGTTGGATAATTTGAAAGTTGTTATCTTGTAGAAATTTGAACATTTTTGCACACTATATATATAGTTCAAAACTTAAGACCTTATGCAGATTTATTTGAACACAACTTAATTAAATGAGTACGAATATCCAGGGTCCTGGAAAGCTTATCCAAATTTTATTCTAGTTTGTTCCTGGATGGAATGATCCGATGAAAATATTGCGTTATTAGGTAATATTGATGCCTTAATTAAGGGGTCAGTTAGTTTTGTGTGTTGATTTACCAATCAGCATAACAATAAAAATAAATACAAAAAAATGAGAAACCTATTCAAAAATATCTCATACGTATCACTACTATATACTGATATAATAACAAATATCTAAGTGGCAATTTTCTTTCCTAATTCTACAATTGTTAGCCATAACTTTATTTTAGTTATGGTTTATCACGCGAGTCACCCGGTCTTAATTCTCCTAATTTAGAATTTCCGCGATATCAGTTATCTGTTACGTATAATGGCATCTATACAGTGTACTATGTAAATGCCTCTGGTTAAACTTACATCTGGATGTATTTTTATTTTTTTCCGCAGGGAGAAAAGCTAAGGCTTTATCGTAGTGTAAATATTGACGTAAACTCAATTCATTAACAGAATGATCATTATCAATACATGAACTGTCTGTAAACTCAAATCATTAACAGAATCATTAACAGAATGAACATTATCAATACATGAACTGACTAATATGACAAGTTACTTTGTAGATTATAGATTAATTTCTAAATTTATTTTATCATTATTATTTGGTATTGGATAGATTTATCGCATCAGTTTTTGTTAAATCACGAGGTAAAGTATTTGGATACATTTATGTACTATTTTATCCTTATTAGCATATATTATATAATTAATCCAGGCTACTTTTAGAATTCTTGACACCCCTCATTTAAATGAAATACATTTTCTGGATACAGAAATTGATTTTTCGGATATATGTATACTTATCCGAAATTTTTTCATTTTATAATGAACAATAAGACTATCATAATGATTGGCGTTCAAATTCCATTTATTATTTTTGTTATCATTTCATTTATTATTTTTGTTATCATAACTTATTCTAAATTCTTATTTTTAATGATTAATAATAGTATATATTGATCTCATGACAAGTCTTATATAAATTATATAATCAATAATAAATGAATGAAAGCATTTTTTTAGATTTCTTTTTTTTTTCACTAATTGGTGATTAACCGTCACGAAAATCATCAATAAACGAAGAACAACAAACACCCTTGTGTCCACCACGGGTAAATAACCCGGTAGATCTCCGGTTAAGGGTCCTTCAAGTTCCTGCATATTATTCCCATCATTAGCGGTAGTACGTACGTAATTACATATTATACATATTATATATTACAGTATATATTAGATTTATTTTCATTACAGTAATGTGATATAAAATTTTGTCTTAAGCGTTGAAATAATTATGTAAAAATTTAACTGATTTACGTAATTATAAAATTTTATTTGAATATAAATTATTTATCTCTATATTTTCTTCTCTTTTTAAACAATGGACGAACAATCTATGCAAAAAACTTCTTTTGTAAAACCAGATTACGATAATTCAGCTCTCGATTCTCTACCTACCCAAACGTCTCATTTGAACTCGCAGGATCTTTCATCTATAAGTCTTGATTCTCAATTAGACTCCAAATTTCATGCCTCCGATTTATTAGACGGAATTGATAGCACTTCTTCTAATGGTACTATTGTACCCACCTTACCAGCGATCGTCGAAGCACAGCAATTATGCTCTGAAATCAGGCAGAGCAGTACTAAATTATGGGAAAGCAGTGGTGACGAGCATGTTCGTTTCATTTAATTCATTTAATTTATTTAATTTATTTAATTCATTTAATTTATTTAATTTATTTAATTTCTTATCTATTATTTTTATACTTTATGTTAATCATTTTATTTATTAAATAGTGGGTGCTTGATCTGGCAACAAGACGTCAATTGGATTTAAAATTCATTAAACTTAGACAGCTCAATCGAAAAATGTGTCAAAATAAACAAAATATTAAAAATAAAACTCATTATGCAAAAGGACAAATGGATCTTGCGCATATGAAACTACAAGACTTTATGTTTCAGAAATGTTTGTTAAAAAGTACGCTTAGTAAATTTCCACGTAGGTATGTTATTTGTTAAAATGTATGATTAGTAAACTTCCACGTACGTACGTATTTTGTTTGTTAAATTTTTGATTTTATTATTTCTTAATTTTTAAATTTTTTATAATTTAATAATATTAGGTTCAAATTTGAAGATATCTTATTAATCACCCTTGATGAATTCATGAAGACTGCTCCGGAACAATACCTTCCCGTTCTGTCTGAAGATACTGATACTAAACAACGTGATCATCAATTATTACTGGCTCAATTACGATACGAGCTCGCTGAACGTACAAAGTAAAATTTCTATTAAATTATTGTTATAAATCATATTATCACAATGTTTTTGAGTATGTATTGAATTTTTATTAAATAGATTGAACCATAATTATCTTGAAAAATTGAAAAGAAAAGAAGATGCTCTTCGAAGACTAAGAGGAAAATCAAAAATATATCATGAAGTCAATAAAATAATGTCTGATCCATTTAGCGTATGTACTGTACTTTTATATCAATTTTTTCTTATATTAGTATATTTAATGTACCTAATTTCATATATTTTTTTATTCGTATAAAAAACAGACGATTAAATCTCTTCAACAAATTAATTCATCTTTAGTAGCTAGTATATCGTCATCACCTGAAACTAATTCTTTGATTGACCATTCAACCTCCATGGTCGACGATAATTGATAGTGATAAGTGATAGCCATTATTTGCTTACTAAATAATCGATGACAATATAAATTTCGTGTACTATATACATTAGCTTTGCCTTGATTCATGTAGCATGTACTTCTTTAATAATAGAAGTCCTTTTGTTCATAGCTGTATATTTTTCTTTTGAAGTTGCCACGCAATAGAGTTTCTCAATTTGCAGAATTACTATATCTTTCAAAATTTTAGATCTCACTACGATATAATATACATAATATACATATACAATACTACTAATAAGATTATTGCATTACGGACAAATTAGATATGTCAAAAAGAAAATGTACAAAATATATTGTACAGTATTTGTGTAATAGTCGAAAGCTTTCTTAGAAAGTCATGAGGTAACGAACGCAAAATATCAACGAATTATTAGATCAAACAAAGCTTAAGATCAAGGTTTTCCAGTTTTACTTGTATATTTCTTCACGGTTATAAAACAAATTATGAAAATCTTTGCTTTATTTTTTATCTATCTATATTCCATTAATTAAGATTACATATTTACGCGATACTTGTTGTGATAACGCACTAGTTAACACGAACGTGTAGTTGATATATCTTAAAGGTATTTTATATTATAAGTGTTATCACAAGTCATAAATGATCATAAGTTCGATCTCTATAATACATCCGTGTGCGTACTATGATCACGTAAGTGGCTCACAAAATGAAATGTTGAAAAGCATTAGCATTTTATCAAATCAACGTAATCTTTTTTTTCCAGGCTTAATTTACAAATTTTGTAAATTATAATACAATATATATATATATATATATATAAGCATACAGTAAATATTTGTTAGACTTGTCCTTTGATCAATAATTTATAATAAAAATTAACTTTAAAAAAGCGTCTTAGCATTTCGTGTTTTTTATTTTTATCCTTAAAAAAGCATCTTAATCTTTTGTTTTTCTTAATCCTAAAAAGAACATCATAATCTTTCTTTTTTTCTTACTTTTAAAAAGGTGTTTTAATCTTTTCGTTTTTTTAAAAGGCGTCTTAATTTTCATTCAAAAGACAAGTAAAAAGGACTTGTAATAAATTTATACAAACATTATTTGGAGGTTTTCCTGATTGTCAAAGGTTCATTAGTTTCTGGCGAAGGAATAAATTACGTTCTTCCTTATAACAAGCATATTATAATCTTATAATAATTCTATATTTGCCACCTATACCAAAAGCGTTATATCTAGAGTGAAGCTGTTTATGAGCGAAATATGACTTACCGTATTTGCGCGTAATAACGCGCAGGGGTATAATTTCGAATTTCGGCCTAAATTAAGCTTAATTCAGGCCATAGCTCAAAATAATGCCCCGGCCCGCTATTACACGCAAATACGGTACTAGTATATATATTATTGTTCACCTACCAAGTTAACTTGGTAATCCATCTTTAAATATACCGTAGTGCACTGACCAAAAGAACCGGGTTTAATACAAAATACCCAACATCCCCTGTAATATTGAAAACAATAGCTTTAAATTTTAACTAGGAAACCACCTTCTGCGGTCTAATTAAAAATGATCCTCGTGAAATTTTATCAATAGCTCCAACCCTAACCCTACACTGTTCTCACCCTACCCTAACCCTAACAATAGCGCGGTTTTCTTTTTACACGCGACTTTTTACTTGGAAATCAAAACACGTTTGTTTCACGTTACACCTGGTCTTGAATCTTGATTGGCTAAAATTACAGCGTGAACAATTTTTTGTGGGAACGCTACCAAAAATAAAGATAAGACTCGGTATATTATACAGCAGCGGATCAGTGTCGCAAGAAAAAAATTTTCAGCATATACATATTTTGCACTTACAATAAGCAGTCAAAAATTTTAATATTTAATTAATAGAGGTCTCGTTTTTTGCACCAGGTACTTTACAAGGGGGATATTGAAAATTGAAAATGGGAATACTTTGGTCAGTGCACTATAGTACCTAAATTTTCCTTATCTGCTTGATTAATCGTTTCTTTTTTTTATAATAAAGGAATAAAGGAATGCGTATTGAAGGATATTTAGGGTATAGCCATTACGTAGACTGGAGTTAATTAGGCCTCTTCAAATATTTATCCAATGATTATTGATATTTTTCGAAGATGCGTAGAACGTAGAGTGGGTGACAAAAATTTTTATAAATATACACGAGAAAATGCCGAAAAAAAAACCTTACAAATCATTTGGAAATAAGTGAAGTTGCTGAATTTTTGGTTGAGTACTTTCAGGTTAGTTTTAAAAGGTTTACATGAATATTTTTTGTCAAATTCTAATTAAGATGGTTTATATCATTAAGCAGAATTCACATAAACAGAATCAAGATTTAAGAGACACAACAACAGAATTAAGAGATGCAACGATTTAAAGCACATTGATTAGCGGTTATGCAATATTTTTTAGCCAAAAAATAATGCGATGTAAAAATTATGACTTCCAGCAATTGTTTATTCGAAGCACATTTAATAGTATTACGTGCTTGCTCTTCATTCTTCAGAGGAATCTTGTACAATCGATGTGAAGTTTCTTTAGTAGACATTTCGCCAAAAATTTCCAATACTTTATTAGAGTATTATATATCTTTGGTGGCTTTAATTTAAAACTCAAATCATTGATTTATATTTGATTTATTCTTAATAGTACATATACAACAGTAAATTACCCTTGGACGAATATAAACCATCCGAAATATTCAAACTCTATGTTGCGGCTGTAAAACTCAGTCTTGAAGAAATTATTATATTTAGAGTTTAATAGTGTGGCTACTGAAGTTACTAGAATCTCATTGACAAAATAGTTTTCCATATTAGGGAGAACGTTAAAGTCAGGTTTGATTTTGGGTAGGATTAGGTTATTATCTTTTTGATGTAGTTAGGTTAAATGGACATTTACGGACTATGTCCGTATTGTCCATATTTTTCTATTGGACATAAGGAACTCAAACACGTGAGCTTACTACTCCAAAAATTAGGGTAAACGTCCGAAATATTGTCCAAAATTTTTTATTGCACTGATCTTATGTGACAACTAGAGATGCAGACATTTAGAATTTTGGAGGTAGCTACCCCAGCAAAAACATCACGGCGAAACGGCATATTTACCGTATAAGTAGAAGTGCCACATGCCGTATAAGTGTTGTATACCGTATGAATACCGGATGCCTTAATTTAGCGGGAAGATGATCTATTAATCGTGGATTAAAAAAGTGATTCATGTTTACAAACACTTATTTACTACTAATTAATACCCTTCAGATTATAATAAAGATAACACGTTTAAGGCATGGTGTTTATCCCAACAAGCAAAAATGAGAATATTAATGATTGCATCAGAGAATTTCAGCTTAGAACCCTAGGAATGCAATTGAACGGGATTTCATTCAATAAATTGTATGTTCTCGACATTAGCGCTTATGGGTATCCTGAATTAACGCGCATTCTAAATGTAGCACATAATTTATTGTTGCGATAAATGATGTGCTCTCTCCCTATAATGATAAGTGCACATAATTTGATCGATCTAATGTAATAATTTAATATTATCTTTATATGTAGATTACATTCCATAAACGAATATTCTATAAATGCACTTTACCCAAAAACGTACAGTTATGGAAGGTTGACTGTAATGAATTTAGAAAATCTACTCTTATTTCGAAATAACACACATGGGTGTATGCGCAGATAGGCGTTATTTCGCGCTTATACTGTATCTAATGTTAAAGAAATTGGATTTGGTTATGTGTATTAAGCAACTTAGGTTGGATGGTATACGAAAATTGATTATAATTGTAAACCATCTATTGATTTTTGAAATTTGATTGGTCAACGAAAATTTTCAGTAGTAACACTATACGGCATACTAGGCAATATAACCTCGGGTAGTACAACCTCTACGTCATAGCTGTAATGCCGTAAGTAGTCCCTTCTCTGAGAAATGTCTGCATCATTAGTGACAACCCGTGCTTTTTTCATTTACTTATTAGCACGGGATCGTTACCGTGCAATAATTGATAACTTTATATTTTTTGATATAATTGGACCCTCCATATTAAAATAAAATATTAAAATATTAAAAACTTTAAAGGTAAATCAGACATGATCGTGATGCCGATCATGAATAAGTGCCATGAAATGGGTTTACCAGATACATGCGTTGATTTCATGAGGTTTGGTACGAAAGAAGGTTTGGACAATTGGGAAATTTCGGACAAGGAGAAAATGCGATCTTTTTGGGTGATTGACTCGTTATGGGCACAACAACCATTTATTAAAGGGTGAACTTGGATTTTTTTTTGAGCAAACAATGGATGCCTTTGAATTTCATTCATACCATTGTGATTTTGTAAGTTTGTATATTTCAAGTTTGGTACTTTTTTTAAAGCACTTTTTTATTCGTGAAATTTAGACCAGAAGTTTGTTATAATAAAAAAACTTTTGATCCGGACGAGCTTTTATGAAAACACTCTGTATTACTTCGAAAATACTTTATCTATTAAGACAATTTATCATTTATTCAATTACCATAACACAGGTCAACCAATGAAAAAAAAAAAAGATCAAAAGAGCTAGGATACTATTACTGTTTTTTTAGAAAAAAACTACGATATCATTATTATAAGCTATTATAATTATTATAAATTTCCAAAAAAAACTGTAAAATTTCCTTTCTAAGAAGCAAAAGACCATTCTTCTAATCATCATAAGAGAACTTTTTATATTTTTCAGAGGAGTCTTTGTTGTAACTTGAAGATTGATCGTGACTATAACTTTCATCGTCAATATGTGGACGATTCCAACCACCGTAATAACGACCATCATCATAGTCGTTATCAAAGTCGTTACCAAAGTCGTCACCATAGTCGTTATCATCCCAGTGCCCTTTTTAGCACAAAAAAAGTTAATATTAATGAAAATTAAAAAAAAAAATAAATAAAAGAATCAATTTTAATAAATAAATACGTTTTCTAAGAGCTTCGGCTTTAGCTTTTGAGTCTAGTTCACGCTTGAAAACTGTTGCATCAACGAAGAAGGCGATCGTTGAGAGAACAGTGAGTAAAAGAACAAAGGCGTAGATTGGCTTCATGGTCTTTTAATAAAAAAAATTGAGTATTGAGTAATTTGAAAGAGTTTTCGCAAATTTATTATAAGAGTTTTATATTGTTATTAATGTTAACAGTGTAGTGTGAATTATGAGAAAAGAGAGGTTCTCGGGCAGTGCTTTTATATCTTTCTTTCATATTAGAATTAACGATGGAGTACTTCGAGTCTTACATCTGAGTCAGATCAAGTTCTTAGAATGATTCAGAAATAATGAATGGTAATCTTGGTGTTTTCGAGGTATTGAATTAAGTAACGAATAGAAACAATGTTCAAAGTATAAGGAGTCACTTGTTTCTTCTTCAGGCAATTTCCAAGATATACTGTGTAAGAAAAAATAATATTGTCTTTCAAAATGGTTTCTTCAATATCTAGAAATTCTCACAATCTTTATTTTTTTAATTCCTGAAAACCCGATTTCTATTTTTATTATCTTATTATTCACTTGTTTTATTTTTTATTCTTTTATTTTTACATCCTTTACCATATTATCGCCCTTTTTTTTTAGAACTTGGTCGATACCCTTTCAATACCTTTATTGGTTTCTGATGTCAATTCATTTAACATTATCAGCTAAAATTATTATTATCTTGGCAAAAACAAAAAAATCTATAAATAGATCATGATCCTCATTAATGTAAATGCTCTTTTTTAATGCATTCGTTTTTTCATTACTCCCACAAGAGAGAGTATCATAAACTTAAGGAGCGTGCGGCAATGACAAATTATCAGCTTACAATAAACATTATGCCAAATTTTACAGTAATGAGATATTTTCTAAAAATGGGTTAAAATATAATATAATTGTACCCAATCCGAGTATTCAATTTCTTAAAGCTAGTTTCAGGTTTTTAACATGCCTTTATTTATCAATTATTACTATGGTCATTAATTATTTGAATGCGATGGTTTCGTCATTTAATGCTGTATAATTAGTGAAATACTAAAAACGAAAACAAAACCATAATTAGTGAAATACTAAAAACGAAAACAAAACCATAATTAGTGAAATACCAAAAACGAAAACAAAACCAAATTCCTCTCGAAGACAATCCAGTAATTCTATCTAAAAACAACTTTTAAGTTGAAATAATTACAATGAAGTTTAAAAATACCTTTAATCAGATTTGTCGACTTTCCAAGATCAGTTTTTTTTAGGGGTTTTCGGACGTAAACTTTCTCTTTGCCATTTTTTTTTTTTGATAATTTTGGCATATGGCGAAGCTGTAAATAGCGACTATGAAAAACCAACATAAGTATTAGTATTGACGAAATATCATAATAAAATGAAATATACATAAACAGAAGTTACTCTTAATACGTATCAGCCAATTTTCTTATTATGTACTGTACGTACGCCAAAAAAAGTGATCGTGTATTGATTATTTTTAAAAATTGAGAATTGAATATCGTCCATGACGAAAATATGAAAAGTATATAACGTGTGAGAAGCAACTTCTTTTTTTTTAAAAAAAACGTTTTCATAACTACTTAACCTTACCTAAGAAATTATGAAGTCGTTTAACTTATTTGCACTTTTCTTGATCATTCTTACGATTTTTTGTGCCGTTGATTCTGCAGTCATTGATCACGAAAAAATACAAAATCACCGAAACATTATTATTAAGCGTGGTTGTAAGTCATTCAACCCATTTTTTTTTTGTTGAATCATTGCACTTCTGTTATTAAATGTAATCATATATAGTTGATAACAAAATTAATTATGCATTTTGTAAATTTCGCGTCTATAAAGATGGAAAACCTTTTACAAGCGAAGTTGGGCCTTCTAAAGAAAATGAAGAGGAGGACAAATCTTCTATATTTAAGTGTCCTCTTCTTCCTATCGATAAAGACAATGAAGATCTAACGCCTGTCGGTAAATGCAAAGAAGGAAAGTTTGTTCCTGAAGAGGAAGAAGGGAAACTTGCTCCCGAAAAAGAAAATCCTATTTCCGAAGAAAAAGAAAATCCTATTTCCGAAGAAAACGAAAATCCTATTTTCAAAGAAGAAAAGCCTGTTTCAGAAGAAAAAGAAAAACCCAGTTGCGAAGAAAAAGAAGATCCTAGTTCCGAAGAAAAAGAAAATCTTATTTCCGAAGAAAAAGAAAATCCTATTTTCAAAGAAGAAAATCCTAGTTGCGAAGAAAAAGAAAATCCTAGTTGCGAAGAAAAAGAAAATCCTAGTTGCGAAGAAAAAGAAAATCCTAATTCCGAAGAAAAAGAAAATCCTAGTTCCGAAGAAAAAGAAAAGCCTAGTTCCGAAGAAAAAGAAAAACCTAGTTCCGAAGAAAAAGAAAATCCTTGTTCCGAAGAAAAAGTAAATCCTAGTTCCGAAGAAAAAGAAAATCCTAATGCAGAAGAAAAAGAAAATCCTTGTTCCGAAGAAAAAGAAAATCCTAGTTCCGAAGAAAAAGAAAATCCTAGTTCCGAAGAAAAAGAAAATCCTAGTTCCGAAGAAAAAGAAAATTCTAGTTCCGAAGAAAAAGAAAATTCTATTTCCGAAGAAGAAAATCCTAATTGCGAAGAAAAAGAAAACCCTATTTCTGAAGAAAAAAAAAATCCTAGCCCCGAAGAAAAAGAAAATCCTAGTTCCGAAGAAAAAGAAAATTCTATTTCTGAAGAAAAAGAAAATCCTAGTTCCGAAGAAAAAGAAAATCCTAGTCCCGAAGAAAAAGAAAATCCTAGTTCCGAAGAAAAAGAAAATTCTATTTCCGAAGAAAAAGAAAATCCTATTTCTGAAGAAAAAGAAAATCCTATTTCTGAAGAAAAAGAAAATCCTAGTTCCGAAGAAAAAGAAAATCCTATTTCCGAAGAAGAAAACCCTATTTCCGAAGAAAGTTGTATTTCTGAAAAAAAGGAACCTATTTCTAAAGAACTTATTTCCGTGGAAGAAGAACCCATACAGTCTCTTCTAAACGCTCCCGAAGATAATAAATTTGAATATTGAAACTACGTGTTTTTCTAACTTCTATATTAATCTGTTCTTATTTTAGATCAACAACTTTGAGGGTATAGCTTTTGTGACTATGAACCTGTTCCATTTCATTCTGCCAAAGAAAAAGCGCTATTAAAATAGATGTATTGGTTTTCTTTCTGGTTGCCTAAGCCACATTCTTTTTCTAGCTTTTGAAGCAACTAATTATAAAAATGTAAAGGATATTAATTAAAAGCATATAATTACTTATATCGATATGCCTTTATATTAAAATTTTATTAAATACGTATCGTTTTATCGACTTGTTTTTTCTGTACTTGTACTAAAATTTCTGTACAATATTTTCAAATAAATAATAATGATAAATTGACTCTTGATCAATCTATCTAAAAAATCTTTAATTATGGATATTCTAACGCTAAGAGTTTTTGTAACTATACTTGCATCCATTAAGTTGGTGCGCCACAGTGGCTAAAAAGTATTTATGTTATATAATAATCATGTAACTAGCTCTGGGTTTACTAATTTCCCATTGGACGAATACAAATATCATTTTCCATTGGACGAAACCAATTACATCATTGATCGGGGTGGCTTAACCCTAATGCGTCGCAATTAACTCCTACAGGGAGATCCCCAAAATTCCGGGTCGGGAGCTTCTGAACTCTGGTCGGAAGGGCCGGAGTTGATCAATTTTGCCCCAAGATCACTAAGAATTTTACTAATGAAACAATAGTCGTTCATTAA